ATGTAATGACCCGGCGCTGTGGAACGTAAGTATGAATATTCAAAAGCCATTACAAAAATGGATATTTTTTAAGTACTATTTGCATTGAAAGTGCATTTCTGCCCTAAATTACCTTATGTGAATCTGGTTTTTATTTTTTCTTTTCTTTGTTGAATAAAAGGGTGCTGTTATCTGCAATAACATTTTATGTGGGTGAATATTTCAGTTTTTAAATCGTTTTTATGTGTTAAACCTATTTTAATACATATTGATGATATTGGATGTTTTAGTATAAAATTTGAACGACATTCGTATTGGACATTGGGCGTTAAATACATTTCCCCCAAATTGGGTTTTAAATATTTTAAAATGTATTCATTAGGTAACGAAATATTGGATAAGTGATAAATATTTATTTTGCAACGAAGTAGTGTTGCATATTTGCAGTTTTAATGCTTATATCAGTATAGGAAACTATTATATTCATAATGAATTGGTGTTCCCATTTAAGATGCGGTTTCTTAATTTAGTTAATTACATATTGTTTTTATAGATTATTTTAGATATTATATTCATCATTTCATTTTTAGCTTTGTTTCATATCTCCCTACGCAATAGTGAGCCTATTATAATTTTAAATCAAAATCGCTTTATCTCTCAAAATTTTTAAAGCATGCTCTTCTACAATTTCTTGAATCTTTTAATATGTTTTGTCTAACTTTCAAAATTGAATATTTCAATAATTTGCAATAAAAAACATTGGTCTTAATTTAATTGAGTTTTTCCATTAAATTCAAATCTGAATATTATTTGCGGTATATATAACATAAATCAGATAATACATAAATCAAATATAAACGCTATCAGATCAGACAATTTCACAATTAGAAGATAATTTAACACTTACAAATTACAACACAGCTAAAAAAATATTGTTCAATGTTCGTTTTTTTTTTTTTAACAGCTGCGAAAATGTTAAGTAAAGACTAAGCAAATGAAATGAAATTTTTAAAATATTGATAATGAAATCTGAAACTAAAATTACTATACACAGATATTACCTATGAGAAATACATTTATGTTTACTAGATAACTAGACATTATATATAATATTATTTATATCTAAATTTCCGAGCTGTAACAAAGTATTTGGTTCACTGAAAATGCATATTTTTCTGACTAATTCTTGCAAAAAATGAATTTAAATGTGAACATAGATTTAATTTTAAGTAAATTAAACATTTTAAAATTTTGTTTCCATTGTTGAGTGGTTAATTAAATTTTAGTTCATAAATAATAAACTCATCATTTTTCAAAAAAATCTACCATTATTGCAATTAATCATTTTAGAGCTTGAATATAATTCATAACTGTACTGGAAATCAATTTTCATGACTTATCTTACTTAACTTAATCATATCTAGATAATGTTGTGCAATCTTTATACTTTTATTGGGTGTGTAAACATTAATGTATCGCAACCAAGCAAAGAATGAAAAACGTTTATGAAATTATAAAACATAAATTTATCAGAACGACAAAATGTAATTTTTATTTTTACTTATTTTTATTGTAATCATCTGTTCGTTTTTGAATTTTTTGAAATTTTGCAGAACAAAAGGTTTATTATTAGGAACGTGGCGTATAAGCTCATTTGATCATGAAATTTGGCTATAATTATTTGTTCATACACTTTTATTAAATTATAATCAGCTTTTTTGAAATATTTCTATTGGAAACACTTTAATATCTAAATGGGTAAGTGTACTTATGGATAAAAAAAGGAAATAAAATTAAAACAACATCAATATCTTACAAACTAAAGTTACTAAAAACAAGTGAATTTAAACATACAAGAATTCTTTAGAAATATGAATTTATTATGTCTGGAAATTCAAATTTTATTTTTATTATATCCATTGGACTAGCAAATATTTTTACGAATTTCGATTCTGAAACCAATGTACCCTTTAAGAATCTACCTAACATTTATTAATTTCAACTATCGATCCAATAATAACTCAGTTTTTAAAAACTGAAATATATCGTGAGATATTTGTTTTATTTTTGAATTAATAAAGTTCATTTAAAATGAACTGTATTTAATATGCTCAAAATTCAGTATATCAAAAATAAAATCAAACAATAATATTTTGAAGTAAAAGGGGAAACAGAAAAAAAAATATCGTCAAATTATTATGACTGAAAAATATTGAATTCTGAAATATTAAAAACATTTTTAAAATTATTTTGATTTAAAAAGTTTAATAAAAGGTGAAGGAATGTGAAATTCATACTTCTTTTTTTTATTTCTGTTAAGCAAAATACGAATTACGTATGTTTTATTTCAGTAAAAGAAATAAAAACTTCACTAAAAACATAGAATCTGAACGCAGTATTACATGTTAGTCGAAGGCTTTGCCTACTTTTTCTAAGTGATCTTACAGAAAGTATTATTTTCAAATAAAGGTAGCGTTAAACAGTTTTTTTCTGAGTTAACTTTTATATTTACTTATCTTTTGTGCTTAGTGTGTTTCTTTAACTTATTATTTTAATTTTATTTCCTTAAATGGAAAAGAAGCTAATGGTTATTTCAGAATTCACTATCATTCGACGTTTTATTTTTTAAATCCTAAAATCATTTAATGCGAAATAAAATAAAATTTATCATTCTATACTGTAGTTTATTTTTAAAAACATAACAATATGTGATTATAGCTTCAATAAAATAATACAGAAACCTGATGCGATCTAAACAAATACTTCATTAATAAAGGTAAAAGAAATAATTCAAATATTTAAGACAATAAAAAATTGAAACAATAGAAGACAGTGTATATTTACTAGTGATTAAATTTTCACTACAAAAATACTATAAGTTATATTCAAGTAAAATTTTTATATTAAAAAAGTTCAACTTCTTAAGTTTTTTCTCCACTTTACAGATCAGCGTTTAATTTAAAAAATACTACCACCTGAAACATTTTTGGATATTAAATCCGTTTGATTCTAATCAAACTAATTGAATTAGCAACTATAAATAAATGACAAGCAATCAAACATTATCAGTTCCAGTGATATCAAATACATTTATTATTAAATCAATTAATGCACTTCAAGTTCAAATCGAGGTATAAGAATGCAATTTAGAAAAGCATTGAAAAATTTGATTTTACATTAAGCTGCATAGAAATTTGATTTTGTTAAGTCTTTGTTTTTATATTTTATAACTCCCCGGTTTTGTTAGTCATGATATGCTCCATAAATTTCAATCACCAAATAATATCCAAATGAACAGAAATACAAACTGTGACAAGTCTGGATGAAACAATGACGATGATGGAGCTTATTTCCTACTGAGAAGAGAGTGAGTGAGAGTGTTGCTTCGGTTGAGGTTTCATTCCGTCGATAGCGGTCTTTTTTCAATGTTCGTAAACGGTTTACTCAAAGCCCATTCCTTGACCTGTAGAGACATCTTGGTGAAGGTGTTTCTTCAGTCACTCTTCTGAGGAGGATTTTGTATATGTAGCAATCGAAAGGCTTCTGCTATCGTTTGTCTACCTGTTTAATAGATGGCGATTATGGAAATGATCGCTTGACCCCGAAAGTTGATACCTTCTCTCCGTTCGATTGTAATCATGACGATAGGTAGATCGTCATTCATGAAAATTGAGACGATCAAAATTGAATCGTCATCCCGTATTCGGTGAATACTTAAGAATAAGACAATTTGTTAAAGTTGCCGAATGATTATTGTACATTATGAACCACATATTTGGCCGAAATTTCAAAGGGCTGAGCCTTCGTGGTAGGATTTCTTATCTCAATGAAATTCAACACATTCGGAGCCATTCTCTGTAATTATGTGTTGGACAATCCCTTTAGGAAACAAATTTAGGAGGTGTGTGACCTTTGTCAATCTATATATAAAATCAGTTGGGATCCGACAGGAATGCTGTTTGAATGTATTGAATTCGCCTGCAACTTTGTGTGGTTTTGAACTCACAGATAGGCCTCTTAAAGGGTGAGCTTCAGGTGCTCAACCGCACCTCGCATCAGGGATTCTCCTGTTACCTTAGTTCCAAACCTTAGTCTTTCCAAATAGATAGTTCTATAAGTAGGAGCACTTTGGCTTTGCGGGTATATTATAAAGGTGTATATTGTCCTCTACTCTCTTTAGAAACTTTACTACACTACCTGTAGCATCAAAAAATTAAACTGACAAAATAGATATGCCATACGAGATTCCGAATTCAGGGGTGGATAAGTCTGGAGGTCATTGTAACGCCCAGGCCTAGTTAGTCACGATATCCTTCATAAACATGTGAGTGTGTCTGTCACAGTTCAGTCGCCAAGTAATATTAAAACGAACAGAAAGAAAAATAGTGAAGGAAATCGAGTTGGTTTAAAATGGATTCCAACGTAGTTACAATTTCTTTTTTCAATTTCTTGTTGTTGTTTTTTTCACTCTTTATTTTTATTTCTATTACGCAAACATAAATGTTGTATTGTATATGTGATTCTATTCATACGTTTATACACGTACTGAAAGTACAGGACGAAAGTTTTGTGTGTATTATTGTTTTATTTATTTATTTCGTTTGTGCGATTTAAAATTTGTATCTGATGTTAAACAAAAGAAGTATTGCTCTTTAATATTATTGTTGCATTTTTTTTAAGTCTGTGGAATTTTTTTTTTTTAAATTTTTGTGGATAATTTGTATTAATTTTTTCAAACCTGTTTTCAAGTTTAATTTTTAAATGTGCATGTATTATGGCTGTATTAAATAAAATGAATTGTATTTATCATGGTATTGATATTTTTAATAAATGCGAGTTTTAATAATTTAAAGAATAAAAAATGTATGTTATATTTGTATATATTTCTTAAGCATTTCTCGATCTTGCATGAAATAAGCAATTAAATACTCTTATTATTTACTCCGGAATTTTTATTAAAGGGAACGATATTCTTGCTCTCGTAAGGAACGTAAGCGTAAAGAAGTTCTTTCTCTTCGCCAACGGCCATACCATGCTGAAAGCACCGGTTCTTGTCCGATCACCGAAGTAAGGCATCATTGGGCACTGTCAGTACTTGTGAGGGTAACCACCTGAGAACATCCCGTGCCGTTGGCATTTATTTTTGCACTTCAAAGGAGAGATGGAACAAAAAAAAACCCCTAGTTTTCTGGTCTCCGGGGTTTGATGAAGTGTGTGTATGATGAAGTAGCTAGTAAGAGTGAATAAATTTTAATTAATTAACAATTAACCCTTTGATGGTTATGAACTAGCCCACCTCGCATTCGAACAGCTCACTGTAATGCCAAATTCAGCTCTTTTGAAGTTTTTCGACCCAAATAGATACAACTGAACCCAACTCATATAGCGAAAATTTTCCCAAATGGGAACTGACAAGACGAGTTCGTCCGCGCCTGTTAACCTACGTAGTTTCAGTCGCAAATGATTCTTACTGGAAAAATTGGTTAGAGTAAGAGTGCCGTGAATTTGTTTTATATAAGGAGGCAAAATGTTGCCTATATAGTTGTTGTTGATCTAGTTAATTTTCTTGTATAATTTGGAGATAGTTTTTACTGAAGTAGCTCAAAAGCGAAAGCTAAATAAATTTGGTAATAAATAAGTTTTATGAGGATATATATATGATGAATAATTCCATGTTTTAAAGTGTCTCATATGTAAAAAGAGTTTAAGGTAAATATAACAATTAAATTATTCATAACGTTTTAAAGTGCGAGTATTTATTTAGATATTTTAATTTAATATTTTACGAGCTATTATTCATAATATTTAACATTTCCTGATTTGTCTAAAAGTAACAAATGCAATTGTTGTAAATAATACAATAATATTCTCCCAAATAATTCTTTACAGACTATCTGTTAAGAGTAAGCGAGCTATCTATATTACCGTCAGAAAAGGATGATATTTTCAGACTCAATTGGGGGGGAGGGGGAACACTGACACTTTCGGCGACCATTTGATTGTAGCAATGCGCATAGTGAAACTAAAATTGTTGATTCTCCTCACCGTCGAAGGATTAATTAATGAATACGTTTCTTCATTTGTTTATTGAGTGCACATTGAAGAGAGAGGGAGGTGTGGGGCGTCTTTTTTTTCTTAGGAAACACTGCACATGATTTATACAGAATGAGTGTCTCGTTTAGAAGAGACGTTCTAGATCGGAATGTTGAAAAAAAAAATGGAATATCACTATCTAAATTTTTGCATACGGGGAACAACTCTCTACATGCATCCGAATCTAAAGACTAATATTATAAAGTGCAACTTTATCTTCCCCCAGCCTATCCAATTCTGAGATGGAATTAAGCTTTTATAATCTGGAATGGTCTGTGAATGGTCATGGTGGACACTCGTCTGAGGGTCGCACGTCTAATGGTTGATAACGATGAATCAGATGTTGTGACAGCTGATCTGACAATCACTCTGTCCTCCCAATCTGCTGTGGGCCTAGGTTGACCACTACCAACATGACGCTGAAATATGCCATTGTCCACCCATTCTTGCCAGCATCTTCTAATCGCATCGACCCATATGATGAGCGACTCTCCAATTTGCCCAACCTGCTTCTTTCAATCCAATGATACGATCTCTTTCAAAACTCTTACAGTTGCCCGTAATGAGTTCGATTCCTGTGGCAAGGCATTTTTTCAGTCGTTAAAAGGTATCCTGAAACACAATGCAACAGAAAATTTGATCACCAGATTGAGAATCGCTTCTTATATACACCTGCTGAGTGCGCAGCTCCGATTCGTTGTAGCTCTCGCTATTCATTCATTGGACACCAAATTTGAATCATTTGCATGTTCGGTCCAAATGTATTTGCATAAGAAAATTTCATTACAATCGGGCAACTCCTTCTTGGTGTATCCTTTTATTATTATTATTATTATTTTATTTATAGAGTGTACATTCATTCTATATTTCACCATAAAACATTTCTTTATGGTTTTTTACAAGATTTTTTTTCCTCCATCTCTATCGTTCTCTTTCTTGATCTCTTTTAATTTAATGCTCATTCAATTTTAAATGGTTTTTGAATAAAATAGTTTTTTCAAACCAGTTGTTGTTTCTTCTTTAATTTAGTTTTTGAGGTAATTTTAATACTTATTGATTTTATTTTTTCTTATCTATTGCTAACTTTGACTTTTTAAATATGTTTAGTATTGTTTTTTGATATTTTATTTTTGGTTTTCAATCTTATTTGTAAATTTTCTTAAGATCTAATTCTTGTTATGGCTTTTTTTAAATCCATTAATTAGTGTTTACTTTGATGATGAATTCTTTAATGGAGAGTAGTGGTAGATTTTGTATGAATGTTGTAATGTCTTACAAATTCTTAAGATATTTTGGTAACAGTAAGGTTTTTTTATTGATTTATTTGCATTATGTTTACATGGTTTATTTGGTTTTGTAATTATTAATATCTGCTGATGGTAATTTTCTTTATAAAGTTTGTACACTATTTATATGGCGAGTATTTGGTAAATTTTGCATTTTTTATATGTGATTTTTTAATTTAATTAAATAGTTTTTTAGATTTCTTTGTTTAATTAACACGTTTTTTTTCTGCTTTTACAGCTTAGTAGTTATTTATTTATTTATATTTTCTCTGTCTGCTGTTAAATTGAATTTGATTATTTGGCTGCTGTGTTTACTTTCTTTTCTTTCAGAATTTAATTTTCAGAATTTGCTCATTTTTGGTTTGTTTCCATACATTTTATTATAATGTAATTTACAGAAGTGAGATAGTTTGATTAGTAATAATGTTATAAACACACATTATTCCATTCCAAAGTATGGAACAGTATTAATTACATTATTTTCATAATTCTTAATTTTGCTTTACTTTGCTGAGGCTCAGAGCGCCCTCGACAGGCCAATAGCCGAGAAGCCGTTACATCATTCGACAAGCACTCTCTCACTGTCCACCAACCATACACAGTCCCTTCACTATGGACCTCTACGTCAGTCCTTACCATCGCAAAACGCCCGGCTGAAGGACAGTTGCTACCGCGGCCTCATTACGTGCCATTGAAACCCACTTACCGCCGCCTCCCACTTACCGCGCTCAAAGGGATAGAACTACTACCAAGTGGAATCAGGTCGTATTTAGCGATGAATCCAGTTACAATTTGGGCAGTGATGACAATCGTGTATGTGTGGAGAGGATCCGAGGTGAACGTCTCAATCCTGCCTTCGCTGTACAGCGGCATTCCGCTTCTCGAAATGGTGTGATGGTATGGAATGCCATCGCATATGACACTCGGTCCCTCCTTATACTGATCAACGGAACCATTATTGAGGAGAGGTACGTTCGTGACATTATTCAGCCACATGTGTTACTACTCATGGCAGGGCTCCCAGGACTCTTTCTTCAACAAGACAAAGCTCGCGCACACACAACAAGAACTTCACAGGACTGCTTCTGTTACATTTCCACCCTTACCAGCCTGCTCTTACCCCAGATTTGTCACCGATGGATCATATCTAGAGTCTTTTAAGACGGAAAATTGGACAAACTACGAGTTTGGTCGAATCAAAGGCGCGTTTACAGCAACTGTGAATTCACATATGGGATTTGTATGCTTCATTGTCCGACTATATCACATCATGCATTCATGTTGGATGTGACCAACAGGTTACTAAAATCCTCATTCATTTGTAATTTTTCCTACAATATATGATCATTTTGCTTTGATTTTGTAATCACGTACTTACACTACAGGTGTACTTACATATGAAAGATTTCATTTAATTTTGACAACTCTTTCTTGGTGTGCAAATTTTTATGGCAATGAGTGTATGTTTACTCCATTAAGTAATTAATTAGTTTTCCTACAATAAATGATCATTTTGCTTTGCTTTTGTAATCATTATTTATTTATATCAACGTTATACTCATGTTTGTAAATTTCGTTTTACTCTGACAACTCTTTCTTGGTGTGCAATGTTTTATGATAATGAGTGTATATCAAAGTGTTTCAATTGAAAAATTGCATCATAACTATATTTCTAGAAAATAGTCAAGCATTTCTGCCCTTTCTAGATTTTTCAAAACAAGCTTAGAAGTATTTGAATGATTGTTTCTAGAAGATGTAAATAATATTTAATCACAAATGATTGTCTAAAAATACAAAAAGTTTTATGTATAAAATATATTTATATTTTTGAAACAATTGTGAAAGAATGTTTCTAGATTCATCGTGTTGCAGAACTATTAGATTTACAGAAACCTATAATTGGGAAAAGATTTGGCTTTGATAGGAAACCCGAGTTTTGAAATGAAAGCTTCCTTTTTATTTACTAGTCAAGGCCTTGTTTGATAATTTATTTATCAAACTCTATTTAACTTTGTTTTCTAGAAGTCTATACAATTAATAATATATCCGAATTTATGAATATTTATACATATATTTGCCCTTAATGATATAAATCCACATATTTAATGATACGGGAATCAAAATAAGATATCTAAAATTATTCATTTCATAATAATAAAAAAATGTTCAAACAAAATTTACGTTTCAAACTAATTCGTTGTATAATTAAGCATTATCTTTGTGGCTATAATATGTTAATGAACTCAAATTAGGGTTTTATTTTGAGTACATTGCAAAAGAACTTTATCGCATGAATTACTTCAATCTTATCTAGAAGCAAGAATTATTAATCGTACAGTATTCGAAATTTAAGTATTTTATCTCAAGCTTGAACTTTTAAAAAGATCTAATTGTAATTCGGTCTGTTCTCGTACTTTAAGCTATTGAATTAAAGGCTCTTGTACGCAGAGGAATTTACAATTTTGCTAGTCTAAGTATATATTAGAGATGAAAAGAGAGATTTCTAAAAGTAATAGTAATATTAATTCAGATACTGAAAATCAAGGAAGAAATCCTTTTAACAAGACAAATTATAATTTTATTGTTAAAATATTATGTTGTTTCAATTTTCAGTGAAAAAATTCCATTTCGCTATATTCCTTCACGCAAGTGATATATAATTTCAAATGTGTGTTGACTGCGAAAGCCTACTGATCATGGTAGTGGACTGGTCATAGTAGCCTACTGGTCATTGCCGACGGTTTCGTCGAGTCA